ATGGGGGGGGGGGGGGGGGGAGTATTCAACCTACCTTAGATCTGACTTATGACACTGTTCAGAACAGTACCCCACCATGAGCCCATACTACATACATGGGGATCAAACTGACAACAGCAACTTAGAAGACAAGAAAGGGGCCTTGGGGGACAGGCGTTTACACCAACAGAGCAGGGACAATCCTGAAAAGCAGGGTGATGGGGGGTGTACAATAATGGAACCCATGTCACTAAAGTGAACATGTACAAACTGGTGGGTGGGCATTTTGCAGCATACATTCTCAACAACAAAAAATGGAATTATATTAAAGAACTAAGAAAGAAAGAAAAATGAATGAATGCGTGAACAGATGGCCCCTCTTCTAAGCCACTAGAAACAATGACAATTCTTTTATCACTTAGTTTGCTGGTGGCCCACTGCTGAGAACTCCCCTGGGACAGGGCAGAAAGCTGGGTCTAGGAGGCGGCCGTACCATAGTTGCTGATTTTCACTGTATAGCCTGTTGTAAGGGGAGCAACCACCGCTGCTGGCTTCTCGTTGTCCAGAGAGTCTGCCTTCCCCTGTGCCTTCTGCTGCATCTTGTTCTTGATTTCTGTCTCAATCCTGGACTTTTCAACAGTCAGGGCATCCCGCACTCTTTTTCTAGTGGCCTTTTCCAGCAACACTTTCACCTCTTCCAAATCCTTCTGCAGCTGTGTTAAAGTAAAAGATCAGTTGGCTTTGATAACGAGATAATGACTTGACATTGCATCCACTCACAGAAATAAGAATGAAGAATGAAGAGGTTTATTTACATTTCCTAGGCTTGGGTTGCAACTGGGACTCTTTCCTGTAGCCAGGAGAGTTGTAGTTTAACCTCCTTACTATTTTATGGAAAATGTAGTATTTAAAAAAAAATCATTTTATTGGGGGCTCTTACAGCTCTTATAACATTCCATATGTCAATTGTATCACGCATATTTGTACATATGTTGCCATCATCATTTTGTAAACATTTCTTTTCTATTTGAGCTCTTGGTATCTGCTCCTCTTTTTGCCCTCCTTCCCCCACCCCCCATGACCCCTTGATAAATTATAATGTTTAAAATTTAGTAATCTTGAACCAACAGTATCAAGCTGAAAATTTCCAGTTCAGTAGATTGTTATCCAGCTTTTAGAACATTTAATTACAATGTATATTTGCAATCTACTTTTTGTCAACTTCTAAACCAGAAACTAAAAAAAAATTTTTTTTAGCCTGAAGCTCAGCTCAGGGTCGCCTTTACAACCAGAAATCTGGGAAACACTGAAAACCATTCTCTCAAAATGCCCCCATTGCTATTTTCTTCTCGTGTCACAACACTACCACGGCAGGGCTCAAGGTACAGTTGGAGAATGAATGGGTATAATCCACTCCCCAAACCTGTCTTTACAAAGTACTGAGGCATTTTTCTTAAAATGATTCTACTTACTGCCTCAGTTCTAGAAAACAGAACGGGGTACTTTTATATTTTAGTCGGAGGTCACATGAATGGTAATCTGCCTTAAAACTAGAAGTACTAGTTTGAAAGCCTCTATTTTTATTAATAATCTTAAATACCAACCCAAACCCTCAGAGCTGACTCTAACTCGTGGAGTGTGGAGTACTTGTAAGACAGAGGAGGAGGCCCTGTGAGCAAGCTGGTCAATCACTGACCTAACACTAAGGGTGGTGGGAGTGGTGCCTAAGACTGGAAGTTCAGAGCTTGTGGAGTCCGCCTGCTCTGCCAGCTGTCTCCTTTAATTCAATGCCTGTTTCTCTAGCTGTAATAGAACAAGGCAGGAAAAAAGGAACAGAGCCAGGCCTCTGTCCTCACAGTCAAAAAAGCAGCTTGTGATACTAAGGCCAGCCTGCAAACTCTGCTTTGCAGCACAGTAATCTTTCTTTAATGGTTCCAAATGCACTGATTCTAATATTCACCTAACATCCAGATGTAAGACTATAATGATCCCAAAGGGGAGATTCCCAAGTCAACAAAGACAAAGGCAAAGAGAATGTTGTAAAGTCTAAACAAGACTTAGTGCTTTTTGAATGGAATAGGCCAACTGAAAATGACCTCTGAGTATTAAGGGGCTCTCCTGGAATGACTTAATTCCCAGGTCCCCTCGTGAGTCCTGGCTCTCAGGTAGTTTTGGAAAGGTTTCCACTGAAGCAAGTTAATGGCAGACCTAGTTCGGGAAGTTCCCAGTTAGGCCCTGTTTTTTGCAGACCTCACTGGTGTTTTTCCTTGCACCCCTGCACTATGGACCCCGCTCTAGCACATCTTTTAGTTCCTTGCCTTCTTGACATGCATGAAATCAGCTAGTTCCTGCCTTCCTCTTGAATTGAAATACTGATCTCGTCAGTACCACCCTCATTCCCACCTGTACACTTTCATGCTTTAGTTCCTAATGAATCTTATTTCTACATTCTTCACTGTGAGAATTAAAACCAAAAAGTCAAAACAGTGCGTCCAGTCAATTCTCACTCAGAGCCACCCTACAGCCCAGCCACCCTACAGAACTGCCCCACTGGGTTTCCAAACTAAATCTTCCATCTCGAGGGAACTGCAAATGAAAACCACAAGGAGCTATTTCACACACGCTAGGATGGCTGTACTTGG